AAATACTTTTAAAAAAACATTTTGCACATCTCTGGTTATGAGCACAATTTTGAGCTAATACGTAAGTATGCGTAGAGTATTAACTACAGTAAATAAAGATATCAGCTAACTTTTGGATAATACAATTCGAAATAAGATCTACTAATTTTACACACTTATCCCTGAAGGAGGATCTATTTTTACACAGAATTATTTAAATTGATATCGTTAAGGCAAACAACGTCACGTCTGCTGCAGTACCAGCCTGATCCGAAATGGTGTAATTTATTTTAAATTATTGATAAATCTGTTTATTACTGTTTATTGATAAATAACATAAAATGTTAAGTTGTTTAAATAAAGATTACTTATATGTATGTATGTAAATACATCTATATCTATAAAACCCTGAAACTGTGATTAACTGTCTGTAATAAGAGTAGTAGTGTTCGTGCAACCGTTTGTCTTTTGCTTTATAAATAATAAGTCGACTGTTTGTGTAAAAGAAATGGAAATCACCCCTCCGCCATGTTTAAACAAACCCCTTAAATTTCCCAATAAATTACTCATGGGACCAGGGCCTTCTAATTGTTCTCCAAGAGTTCTTCATGCTCTTAGTTTACCAATTCTGGGACACATGCATACGGAAACCTTTCAGGTATCTTGTATATATTTAATTTTTAACTAATTCTTTATTAGGTATTAAAGAGGATTATTAAGTATGTTAATTCCACATAAAAAATTAAACTAAAGAAAAGCTTCACAATTTGTGGCACAACTGACTCTTAGTAATCCTCAAATAATTTCTTTCTTTTAAAAATATTGAGATGTCTCCAAATATGTCAAAATTGACATTAACAAATGAAAATTAATCTAAATTAATAATAAAGTACTATGTTTTCATTAAAAATAATAACACGAAGTAGACATAAACCGAGCAAAAAAATTTGGTATAATTGAATACATTTTTTCTCGGTTATCTTTAATTTAGAACAAAAGTTGACCAGGTGTTGAAAGATACGCTACTTTTGCAAACTATACTATTAAAACGTCTGTACACACCTTGCAACAATTTTGGAAAATAAGATATGTAAACCTAGTTGTATTATGCTGACCTTAGTTAACAATAATGTTAACGTACATAGAACATACATCATTTTTCTTAAAAAATGCATCACAGAAACATTGAATTTGATTAGGCATTTGGTTCACTTTAAATAAATTAAATCTAACAAAATAAAGTGTACCTTTGCAATAAAAAAAAATTCAGTAGTAGTTAATAGAGCTTTTGGGTGTTTCCATTTAATTTTCGTATCATGTACTCGTTTTTATTTAATCATATTCCAGATAATGGACGAAATAAAAGAGGGCATCAAGTACATTTTTCAAACTAAAAATGAACTAACTCTAGCAATTAGTGCAGCAGGTCATGGGGGTATGGAAGCAGTTTTGTGCAATCTCGTAGAACCCGGAGATAAAGTTTTAGTGGCAGTTAACGGTTTATGGGGCATGCGAGCAATTCGAATGGCTGAAAACTATGGTCGGTATTGAGATTTTAAATATTATGTATTTAGAATTTCGTTTAGTATGTTTTTGCATTTACTTACCCTTTATAATAAATTAAAAATTAAACCGACCAAACGCATTCGAAACTATCACTATCTTCGTTATTATCAAAAAGGAAATTGTAGAAAAGAATTGCAACATAATAGAAATATTAAGGTTGTTTTGCAACTCTTAATGAATATGGACCAAAAAGAAATTGCTAACCGTATTCACTATAATTATGGTGATTTTTAAAACCATAATATTTAAGGTTGGAAAACATAAGGGCCTCTACAAAACTATGTATAAATTTTCTTCTATTACCGGCACAGCCTAGTGCATCTCAAGCTTTTCCCTTTTTATCTCTCTTATATACTTAACTCAATTCATGCCTTAGTCTTATATTATTACCGTTATTTCAATTCCTCTCTTATTTACCCCACCTCAGTAACATCCTACCAACTGTTTAGTGAGAGAAAAAACTATACCCGAAAAAACAGACAGACAGACACAGATCGTATAAGGGTTCCGTTTTTCATTCAGACGTACGGAACCCTAACCCAAGAACCAATTTAACATTGTGGTTAAAAAAACATGTTCTCCTCTACATTCAAACTGCAAATTGAAATTTGTACGCACACTATATTTTTTGTTGAAAGATTTACCACGTTATGTTCAGACAATAGACTTTTTATAAGATAATTTTTCTGTAATCTATAAGTAAAGAACTATTTTCTGTATTTTTTTCAAAATTTTAGGTT